GAAACCGATCTGCCTCCCCCGAAACAGTATCCCCTGACATCCAGCTTGATCTAGTTGGTATAAAAACTCCACCAAGTCTCGACCGTTAAGGCCGATTAAAAAAATAAGATGCGAGGCATACAAGCCATCAGCAAACCCGACGAGAGATCTGCTAATCATTTAACCCTGCTTGCCTCTGCTGGGGCCAACTGGGTAACAGGTGGTCTCATCGCTGGCGGCCTCATTGGCCAAATCGGGGGAGCGGTTCAGGGCTGGCCGATGATTGTCGCTTCGAGGGAAGCCGACGTGCAAATGATTACGCTTCTTGGTGCAGGCGCTTTCACCCTCGTTCTAGTCGCAGCCATGATAATCATGTTCGCTCTAAGAAGGCCCGATGACGACGAGTCGTTGTATGACGACGATTATGATTCCGAGTATTAAGGTTTTTTTACAAGGCGCAAATAGCAACCATATATATACCAGCACACGCGTGTGCACACGCGTTTGTAATCATGCCATCTCCGATATTTTATACGGTGACGGTCATTCAATGGGTGGCAGCCGTCCAGGATCCCGCGAACCATGTTATAGGACCTCACTCCGTTGGCGGCCTCGGTTCCTCATTGAATGAGCCCGAGTTGTCTCATGCCTTTGCTCATCCGCTTCCGAGCTATGTACTTGGCAAGGATGAGCACAAAATGGGACTAGCTCTCAAGAAAGGAGTTCCAGCTCAAGCCGCGACATGTACGGTGGGGAAGCGTGGTATTTTGCGTGAAGTCAAGAATATAGAGACCACCGCGCGCTTATTTGACGCGAATGTAACCATCACCGCGCACGACCTGACTGTAATCAGCGAAAATAGTAAACCTTCATCCCTGCAGCATATTCGTTGCGCTTTCAGCTAACTCGACCTTTCCTTTATGGAGAATGATGACGTAAGTGAGGACGGTAGCTTATTCGCAACGTCTTCCAGACCCTTTGTGACCTGGCCAGATGCTCAATCTTGCTTCACCATAGCGATGTATCCGGTAAAACCGAAATACGTTTTGTGCGCTGACTCACCCCACGAAAGAAAGTAGGATCTTCCCACACGGCCGGTGTGTGCTTACGGCAAGGATTACCTGCCACGTACCCCCACTGTTGGTCGGTCGGTTAACTTTCTACATCTTCTTAGTGTGTGGTTGACTACCTTGTATCATGCTCTTTACTGTGTTTCAAGCATCACCAGCACTACATACGACTGGGATGGGGGTGCTGATATTGCATCGCTGCCTAGCAAGTCAACGAAAGATGCACGTTGGAAAGTAGCGTGGGATCCCAGCAAGCTCGAGTCGTCTTCGACCACCACAACGACGACTACAACCACCACAACGGTGGCTCCCACTGGGCAACGAAAGCCAGTACTTGAAATCCGTATCACGGATCTGGATAAAGCGTCACCAGATATTCTGGTTAACGGCGTGCCGGTCGACCCAACCGTCAGTACACAAGCCGTTGAAGTAACACCGGCTCCTGCCATACCCTAGACGGTCAAGGCCCTAGACGGTCAAGACTCTAGACGGCCAAGACTCTAGACTAAGGATTATTGGCAGAGGACCTTAATTGAGGGAGGGCCATAAGCTAGGCTTCCCAGGGAATAAGTGCGCGTCCAGGTCGAACCGAATAGTTCACGCCGTTGTTCGATCTGCCTGTCTACAGAAACCGTGTCTGTGGATGATAGTTCAGTTTAATTTTTTTATTATGACTAAATCTGAGATGACCCCATCCGACAAGACGGCTACCGCCGACACTTCGCCCGACAACAGCAGCAATGCCGAGGACCTGTACATTGGGGCTCCAGTTGATGGAGTTGTTGGTAATGATTTAGCATTGAAAGAAGTCCACACTTTAACCGATTTGAACGCAAAGGCTCGCGACTTCAGTCGTGTCTCCGACCCCAAGCGAATCAAGGAGATCTGTTGTGAGCGCATACCTTCATGGTCCGGAATGCAGATGACTCCAGATGATGTACAGGTAGAGCAAATCATGGCCGGTTTGACCAACCAGCTTTTTAGCGTATTCTCTAAGCGCCCTGAAGTAGTACCAGCGAAGGTACTATTTCGCGTATATGGTGATACGGTGGCAGACCTATACGATACGAATTTTGAGGTGGAGGTCTTTAAGACCTTGGCGGCCAATCACGCTGCCCCAAAATTCATTGCCGAATTCAACGGAGGAAGAATAGAGGAATATATAAACGGACCCGCACTCCTCGTCAAGGAAATGGGGAACCCCAGCATTGTGACTGCCATTGCAAATATTGTAACTCAACGTCACCCAGGCACGCCTTAACTAGCTCGCACTGTTCACTGCGCGCACTGTTCACTGCGTTTCCCTGATTGTAGCTGTCTAAATTCCACCGGCTGCATTTGCATGTACCTGAGATGCAGCGCTGGAAAAGCGATACGGCTTGGGTGTTCGACGCCATCCACAGATGGGGGAAGAAGGCAGCTCGCCTAGTGGAGTTGGCCGAGTCGGAAGCTCTGAGACAAGATGCCCCAGTTCGTAGAACAGAAAGCTTTGGCACCACCGAGGACGTTCTCATCGACAAGAGCAACTTGATGTCTTTAGCGGAACGCAAAAGTATGGTAAAGAACCTCGAGCAAACCGGCGTCACTGAAATGCTCAAGGAAATTGACCATATTGAGGAACTCTGTTTGCCTTCCCACATCGACAGAAACCACCCTCTAGTCGCGTTGGCATTTTGTCACAACGACACGCAGGAAAACAATATTCTTTGTGTAAGAAGAGTGCACACACTTGTGCACACACTTGCGCACACACTTGCGCACACACTTGCAATCGACTCGTCATTTCTGCAGACCGGCACTCGTCTCCGGTTAATTGACTTCGAGTACTCAAATTTCAGTCATCCCGCGTTCGACATAGCGAACTTCTTCTGCGAGATGACCATGGACTATTGCCATCCGGACCCGCCTTATTACACCCACAAGAGCGCGCCCGAGGATTTCCCACAGGACGAACTGATTAGGCTATTCGGTAGTGTATATTTATCGGCAGTCACCGGCGAGACCGTATTGCCGGCTGATGAGCAGCTGAATTTATTTGTCGAGATTGTACATCGTTTTGCGCTAGCGAGCCATTTGATGTGGGGATTCTGGTCGATTATTCGGGCCCCCCAGGCAGCCACAAACAGTGACTTCGATTTTCTGTTGTACGCGAAAAGCCGGTTTGACGCGTACAGGATGTGGAAAGACAGGAGGAACTTTTGAAATTTTTTTTTTGATTACGAAGTAATGATTCACAACATCTTTGCTTTGGTGGGCGTGATTGCGGCCGAATCCATGACTGGTCTGGAGGAGGAATCCAACAGCAGCATGGACCCTGAGCAGTTGGAGGACTTGTTGAAGGCCATGGAGCAGCACCGCATGTCTGACCCGACGGTTGACGATGAAGATTATGGATTCGACGGAGAGCCTTCCATGGAGCATAGCCCGCTGATGCTCGACAAGGACATGGCCGACCCGGAAGGGCCCGTGGACTACTTGTACGAAAAGATGCGGCCCGTGACTACGTCCTTTACAACGGAGGAGGCGGACCTCCTGTGCGAGACTTTCCAGTCGCAACAGGCCTGGTCTCGTCTTGCGGATGCAACCTACGACGGGGACACTCAAGTGGCTTTGAAGGAAGGCGACTGGCTGCAGGGAGACTACCGTTTAATCTTGAAGGACGGGATGAAGTTCCACGGCGCCGCCAAGCAGCTGAAGACGGAGTGGTCGCCGTCCGACGGGAAGCCTCTGACCTTCTCCATGGATGTCCAGTTTTCCGAGGAGCACAACTGCGGCGGCGGCTACGCGAAGTTGTTCTTTAATGAAGTAGGTGCGGAGAACCTGAACGGTAAGCACGCTTACTCGATCATGTTTGGGCCGGATAAGTGCGGAGGTGACACGAGGAAGGTGCACTTCATAGCGCAGTACACAAGCCCCGCCGGCGAGCGTATTGAAGAGCATTTGGAGAAGAAGGTGGACCTGCCTATTGACATGAGGAAGACTCACCAGTATGGCTTCGCGTTGCACCCGGACGGCATTTTGAAGATATATGTGGATAAGAAGCTGGTCAGGGAAGGCGACCTCAAGACCCTTACCGTTCCCGGCTGGGAAAGCCCGGAGGTGATTCCCGACCCTGAGGATCCGGTGCCCGAAGGCTGGACACCTGAGCCGAAGATGATTCCCGACGAGTCCGCCGTGAAGCCGGATGACTGGGACGAAACCGAGCCGGAGATGATCGAGGACATGTCTGCCGAGATGCCCGACAACTGGCTGGAACACGAACCTTTGCTGGTGCCGAATATGGAGGCCGCGAAGCCGGAGGACTGGGATGACGAAACGGACGGTGAATGGATCCGTCCCATGAAGAAGAACCCCCAGTGCTACGACCACGGCTGCGGCCCCTGGTCGAGGCCCGTGGTGCCCAATCCGGCATACAGGGGGCCGTGGACGGCGCCCTTGATCCCCAATCCGAACTATACCGAGCACTACCAAAGACGGCAAATCAAGAACCCCGACCCTTACAAGATTGACGACCCCTTCCAGGCTATTGAACCCATCAATGCCATCGGCTTCGAGATATGGACCGTCCAGGGAGATACCGCGATCGACAACGTATATATGGGCTATAACGAAGAACGTCTCGCCAAATGGGTTTCGGAGACCTTCGATCAGAGATCTGCACTCGAAACTGAAAACTTTGCCAGAAGACATAAGGGACCCCAAACACCTGTGAATGATTCTACAGACCCCAACCGGTACGTGAAACTTGGTGCTGGCTTGCTCATCCTGGCTGTCCTGCTCGCCATCGCTGTGAGGAGAGTATTCGCTACCTTCTTCCCTAACAGACCTAAAGTGGACGCCTTACACAAAAAGAATGACGACGAAAAGGTGGTCCCAGATAACGACCAGACTAGTAAGGACCAGGCTAGTAAAGACCAGACTGCCACCGATAAGGCCGCAACCACGGACAAGGATGCTGCCACCGATAGAGCCGCTGCCACGGGCAAGGATGCTGCCACGGGCAAGGATGCTGACACGGGCAAGGACGACGCTACTGCCAAAAAGGTCGAGGTTGAGGAAGAACCCACTCAGATGGCAGACAAGGCCGAAATACTAGGCAAGGACCAGCCGACAGACGAAAATGGTCCAACAGAATCGTCTGCTACCCAAAGGGCGTAAACCTTTTTAATTGTTAACTTGGACAGATGACATTATTTATAGCAACCCGGAGCAGCT